AGGCCAAAGACTGATAACTCTATGTCCAAATAAAATACAAAAAACACAATGAATGAGAATTTTTATAGTTCTATTTGTAATTTTAAAAAATTCCTTTCCATAAAGCAAGTGAATTTTGGTTATGATTCTCTGTCCTGAGAAATCCAAATATAGTGGTGGAAATTGATGTACATTTTTATTTTCAGATGATACATTTTAATAAAAAATTGCTTTCATTGGAAATAAATTGCATTAACTATGAAAACTTAAATAGGAATGTGTTAAGTAAATGATTATTTGCTCTTTCTTGCTCTAGAGTATTTGTAATGGGGTTTAAACAATGATGTGTACATATGCATGTGTGTGTACACATAAATGGGTATATAAAACAGATTATAGCATAGGTCTGTATGCAATTTTAAATACATTTCTACTTGAAATCTCTTCTGCAAAGAATAGTCTTTTTTAAAAATGCATTGGAGATTTTAAAAATTGATATTAGTTTTCTATCATGGATGTTTTGAGGTTGAAAGATATCTTGAAAACATTTGTAGTCCACTGCCTTTCTGAATCCCTTCATGTTCTTTGGTAATAGGCAGTGGAAACTGTTCTGACTAAATGAAGTCGAAATAATTTTATTGGAAGGATATTAGGTAACTTAGCTGAATTTAGGGAGAACCTGGCTCAGATAAAAAGGACGAGGCAAGAGACCCCTGAAAGGATGTAGGTTGCAAGAACTACTTGAGGCTGTCAGGATGTCGTTGCCGGGCTGACCGAGCCCCAACGACCTTCTACACATTTGTGTTTCTTGCCTCAAGATTTAAAATCCTGGGACAGACGCCAGTTGGCTTCATTTGAATCGCTGACCCAGCCCTTGGCCCAGGAGTCTTTGCAGTCGAGTCCTACCAAGGCGAGCCCTGGTGTGGGGCGGGTGACTTCCCGAAGTACTTTGGCATGCTGCCACCTGCGGCAGTGGAACCAAATCCAGCCGAGGCGTTCTCACCTTCCAACTGTGGGAAATAAGGCTTAGACAGCGATTTGCTGCTGCATTTCTGCCCCAGCTCGGGTTGGAACTGAGATGGCCTCCAGACGTGTATTTAATTTTATTGTTTAAAGTTAATGTTCTGATTTTTATTTATTTCTGATTTTCTGCGGTTTTGTCCCAGAATGATTTCTTCATTCACAAGAAAACATACTGGCAGCCAAGGCATAAACATACACAGGTAGCACTGCTTGTTTGGAGCAAGGCTGGATCTCCAGCCCCGTGTCCTCTCAGACCTCCTGCTCCCCAAGCTGCCCCCTTTTGGGGGTACTGCTGGGATGTCCCTTTAGCCTCCTCAAACTGAAGTTATTAGAACCCAAACTTACAAGTTTTCCCCAAACCTACTCATCCTTTTGTGTTGCCCCCTCAGCCTGTTTCCTGTCACCTGTTACCCAGTCCGAAATCCAGCCTCTCATCCGGCCCCTCCCTTTCTTCACCCCCAACATCCACTCAGTTACCAAGTAATAGGTATTATTTTTTATCTCCTATATACGTATTGAATCCATCTACTTCTATTCATCCCCCTCCTCTCCTTCAGCCCCCTGGCCTCTCCTTCCCAGGACCACCGGCGCCTCCCATCTCTTCTCCCTACCCCCCTATTTTATCTCCTCCCAGTCATGTTCTTGGACCAGCCGTGAATTTCAGTCACACGCCCAAGGATGCTCAATTACTTTTAATTCCTGGCCCTGAGGCTTGATCCTCCCTAGTGTAAAAATCCAATCTTGTCCCTCTCAGGTAAAGCCAGTCCAATTCAGTGATTTCTCAGGTTATTCAAGACTTTAACACCTGTCCCCCTCACCCTATTTTCCTGTATAGAAACAATGCACTGTTGGTGCAGGGTGGAGGGGAGTCGAGTTGCTAGATTTAGCAAATAAAAATGCTGGATATACACTTCAATTTGAGTTTCAAAAAACAAAAACTTTTTTAGTATAAATAAGTATGTCCCAAGCACTATTTGGAGCATACTAATACTAAAGAATCATTTGTTGTTTACCTGATAGTTAACTTTAACTGGACATCCTGCCTGGTTTTAACTGGCAACTCCAGGACTTAGGGTTTGTCAGCATTTACTTTCAGATCTTTATCTAGGACCTTGTGATAGACACTGAATTTGCCTTTCTAGTACCATTCCTGCTGCCTTCTTTGCTAACATATAACTCCAGTTTTTTGGTGGGCAGCAATGTGCTCAAAAACAGGCCGGATATTTGTTTTTCTAATCCCCTTGCAGCAAGGGGTGGCCATGTGACCTAGTTCTGGCCAATGAAACCACAGTGAGAATCCCCCAGGAGTTGCAGGAATGCTTTCTTTTCCCTAGTGCTAGGGAAAGACACAGCTGGTACCACCCCATATTCCCCTTTTTCTTGCCTTGACAGTGGACATGATATTGAGATTTATAGCAGCCCTCCAATGACCAGCATGGGCCCTAAACTTGCCATGCACTGAACCCAGGCCAATAGCTGCCTACCCTTAGGCATCGTGTGCTGTGAGAAACAGAAACCTCTACTTTTCAAAGGCACCGTCAGCCAAGTTTTCTCTTACTTGTAGTTGAATGCATTCCTGACCTTTGGGGCTCTACAGGTTTCCATCTCTGATGTGCTTTTCTCTCAGCTCTGGAAATATGCTGACCTGAGTCCTCAGGAGCTTCCCACTGCTGCTTATTCTCAGAATTATAATGGTGTCCTCCTTCAGGCCCCAGTGGGTAGCTTTTTAGCACATGTCCCCTTGTTTCGGCCGGTGACGTTGTGGCATATATACCAGCGTTCTCTTTCCATTAACTTTTGTGTCACACGTGGAGACCACTAGACTTTATGGCATTCTACTCATACCATTCAGGGGCTCTGGGAAACTATAGGGTCGGTTCTGGTCCACTGGTGCTGAGAAACCCTATACAGTGACTTTTGCTGCCTTCCCATGCCCTTGTGTAGGAACAAGTGGAAAGGAGGGGAGAGAGAGGACATGGCCCTTTGCAGCGCCTCACTGCTCCTTCTCCTTACTCTCCTCTATCTCAGCTGGAAGGCAGAAACAAACAAAAATCTGTTACTTCTTTTCTCTTCCCCATTTCATATATTTTTGGCCTCATACATGATGGTGGCTTTTGACCTTTGGCCCAGGAATGGGGTTTCCCTGTTCTCTTTCTGGATAAATGCTATAGCAATAGGTGCCCTGCAACTGGCTTCCAGATGGGGGAGGGTTCCGGTTCGGCTGGGACACTCCCTCCAGATGATTTTCTCAGATTGCCATCTCATGGAGTCGTGTCCACGATTCAAACCCTTCAGTGGCTCTGCCTCACTCCTAACTTGGGTTCCACATTTCCTACCATGGCACTGAGGTCTCTTCGTGATTTGAGTCCTGCCTTTTTTTTTTTTCCCAACTTCTCTATTACCGCTCCCCTCTTTATCACTTGTTATGTGTTTTGTTCCATACCTAAGCTGATCCACTGAGAAAGCTACTCCTGGTGGATGGAGTCTGGGCATTTTTGTTTTGTTTGCTTTTTAAACTCTTTAGGTAAATCAATTACATAGCCAAAAGTTGAGAGCCATAGTGCAGGATTTCACAGTTCTCAGACGTTTTCACATACATAATTCCATTTTGTTCTTAGAAAGATCCTGTGATAGAGGCAAGGCGTATATCAATATACATTTTATGTGTGAGAAGAAATATGGTCATAACCGGCTCTATCTTAGGTATTCTAATTTTAGGTTGTTTCCATCCCACACTAAAATTTTTATTGCTAGCAATATCACCTAATGTTATTTGTTCTAAATATTTAATTGTCTCCTAATTTTTTTAAAATGAAATAATTAGTAAAAACTTACGATTTGGCCTCTTGATTGCTCATTTCGTGGAATAATAGCTACTACACAGCTTTTATCCCCTACCCTGTTTATTTCCTATATGGCAGTTTTCATCATCTGAGATTATTTGTTTACTTACCTGTTGGTAGTGTTTTCCCACTTGAATACAGACTTCACAAGGGGATTGAACCTATTTGGTCTACAACAGTGCTTGACACTTAGTAGAAGAGTCAATAGCTATTTGTTGAAGGATTAAATGTAATACTCATTTGTCATTTTACCTCCGTGCATATCATTTATTAAGTTAGAAGAGAATTATTAAACTAACAAATCATTAATTTAATCCTAACTGAAAATAATTTTAAAATATGTCTGGTAATAGATCTCATCATTTTCTGCATGAATGAATGAACTTCTATCACATACTGTGAAGCCATTTAATACAGAATGCATTTTTTTATATGAAATGAAATTTTAATTTTTGCTTGGCTTATTACAGGCTTCTTGTTTTGGTGGGAGGCTAGCTTATCATGTATTTTTGGATATTGTCAGTTGCTGTGGTCTGAATGTTTATATCCCCCATAATTCACATGTTTAAGTCCTAACCCCCAAAGGAGATGGTATTAGTAAGTGAGGCCCTTGGGAGGTGCCTAGGTCATTAGAGAGGAGTCCTCATGAATGGGATTCAGAGAGATCCCTAGCCTCCCCACGCTGTGAGGACACAGTGAGAAGGAGCCAGCTGTGAACCAGCATGAGGGCCCTCACCAGAAGGCAACTACGCTGGTGCCTTGATCTTGAATTTCCAGCCTCCAGAACTGTGAACAATAAATTTCTGGGTTTTTTTTTTTAAGCTACTTAAGTCGGTAGTATTTTGTTACAGCAACCTGAACAGAGTGACATCACTCAGCTAGCTTATTTGTCCCTATCGAAGGGAACTCAGCTCTGGAACTGATATGTTTATAATGTAACTGCATTAAAATTACTGTATTTAGATAGCTCCTGGCATATTTCATTAAAGTGAAATTCTTCAATGATAAGTGTCTGAGGGAAAGACAGTTTTCAGGGCTTTCAGAAACTGAGAGAAAAGGCAGTGTGATTCAACCTTTCATTATCAGAGGATAAAAACACTGCCCAGATTTAAAAGATTAGAATAATGCTTTGAGTGGTCTGTTTCTTATTCCCAGTCACCGGAACTCATACAAGAAGAACATCTGCGTGGACATGCTGCGGAATGGTTACCATAAGTCCTTCACCGAGCTCTTCACTCTGATGGAGCAGTGGGATGCCCACAGGGAGGCTGCACGCGTTAGATCCCTCTTCTGGTTGCAGAAACCCCTGGAGGAGCAGCCTGATAAACTGGATCACTTCTACCGCTACCTGACCAGGGCTGAGGCGGCTGAGCGCAAAGGTGAGTGTGGAGGGATTGTGGGCAGCAGCACTGCAGGAGCCAGAACAGCGAGCCCGAGGGAAGATTCCAAATTGTTTCATGTGTGAATTTGAAACATTAAGACAACTTAGCACATCTCAGCCTAGTCAACTAAGTGTCTGTATGGAATAAATGATACGAACTGTGAATCACAAGGCTGCTCAGACACAGGGGCATCCTGGTGATGTCGTTCTAAGCCAGGAAAGATGATACATAGCACCTAATAACATCTCCAGAACTTTCCAATGTATTAAAATCTTTCATATCATTAATTATAAATCTTCCCATAGATTTTCTCTTTATGTAATCTGAATGTTGACTTTCACCAATGAAATACTTGCATAGAGTACTGCAACTTGGAAATTATACTGAGTTTCTAGTATTTATATAATGGAACTTGAAGTTTTTATCAGTAAATCCTATATTTCAATCAGAATTATTATTAGTGATTAGTGAACAGACATAAAAAGCCTGCAATTCACAATTATGAATAAAATTGTTAACTTTTTCTGTTAACATTTCTAATAAGTTTCCTTTTTTGTACCCTACAATTTTTCAGAAAGTCCATGTTACAATTATTGAAGAAAATATTTAACTCTCTGATTGAAATTGTCATAAGTATTTCTTAGTTCCATATTAGAAATTGGTTATTTGATACAATCATTTTGGTCAGTTATATAAGAAAAAAAGGAATTCCTAGAATTTCGCACATAAATTTGGTGTTCTGAATTGTTCGACTTCAATTGTTCTAATTCAACTTTTTGTGTGTGAAGTAACCATAGGACTCAAAGAGAAACTCAAGCAACATGACGTCGTCTGTATTTCATTTTAGGCTTTTCAGTGGAAAAATAGAGCACTAGGCAACTTCTTGTTACCCAGTACTATAATAGGGAGAATTCATGGGGATACAGGAACAGCATCAGAAGGGTAGCAGATGTCTTTCAGCCTCTGTAGTAGAGTCAACACATATTTCCGACCTGACTTACAAATAGGAGATACGCAGACATTCTAACACAAGTGAACACACAATTGTAAGAGGTGATTATTTGTATTATAAAATATTTAACTGCAGGATTGACTCTAAAAATAGAGTCCGTTCATGAATTTTAAAATGTGGCTTACATAGAATTTCTCAAATTAACTGCTATAAATAAAAAAATGCTGTTTTAAAAAGCCAACATTCTAGTATCAGCCCCAAAGTCTGAAATAATATTTATGCTGAAAATAGAATTGATCATGTTAAAATTTACCCATTAGTCATTTTTTTCAAGTTTAATTAATCATATTCACCCAGTGCTTTAAGTAGAGGCTTTCATTTGAGTAGTACAAATATGAGCTAAAAACATCATTCGTCATAGAATGTAATAAATACAAGAAATTCAATCTAAAGCATTTTGTAACTATAAAGAAACTAAAATGCTAAATAGTCTATTTAAGGTAGAAAACATTTTAGTTTATAGCTTTTCTGTTCAAAGTAAATATACATATAAATAAAAATTTCTCCAATTCTAAAAATTAACTATAGACTAAGTCCAAACTATAATAGACAATGTCTCATACAAATGGTATAAGTAATGAAACATTTTCTTCACTAAGTGGCTTATCATATGTTCATGGTAACTAAGTTGTATTTGTTAAATGGAACAAAATAACATCTTACCCAGAATAACTCTTCTGCAGGGTTATTATCTTCAAAATGCAGTGGATTTTGCCTGGTTGAAATGTAGAAAATTTAATTTATTACAAAAATATTAGAGGCATTTCAGTTGAAAGACATGTAAACATTTGCCTTTTTTAATCTTTTTTTTGTATTTTTTTGAAGTATCATTGATATACAATCTTATATTGGTTTGCTCTTAAAATTCGTGTAATATTTTTCATGTTTCAGACATGAGATTTATTAGCGAAAAATCATTATTTGAGTTAAAAAAAAAGTACCAGAAAATGGGATAAGGGATCTACAGATTTGCTTCTGTTAACCTGCATTAACCCTAAATCTTAAAACCCATGTACATTCAAACACACTTATTCTAAAATACAGCAATCTATTAATAGCATATCAAGATTCCATCCCACATGGAGATGGGATCTGAGATGTTATCCTCAAGTAGAATAATGTCTGAGCATTCTCATTACTCTGAGCAATATAAGCTTTTATGCTTATTACTCTGGAAAACATTCTGTTTTTCCATAGAAAAAATAATTTAGCTGACAAGTAGTCTTTAAAATTGGAATCTTGACATCTTATATAACTCATTCTAAAAAATAAACAGGGAGGCAGAGGGAGATAAAGGGGCACAAAAATTCTCAGTCATAATATAAGTTGGTCACAGGGATGGTAGTGCAGCATGGAGAGTATAGACAATGTTTCTGTAACATCTTCCTATGTTGGCAGGTAGTAACTGCACTAGTTGGGGTGTGGATTTAATAACATGGGTAGCTGGTGAGCCACTGTACTGTATACTTGAAACTAATATAAGATTGTATATCAACTAAAATTAAAAAAAGAATTTTGTTTGTAAAATGTTAGAAATGTTATTCTACTAAGGTTTAGTTACTGAAACAGAAAAATTATTTCAGGACTATACATTTTTTACAATTTCTTTATATAACTCTTTTAAAATGGAAGATATGAAGTATTTTAGGTACAGGCTTTAAAATGTAGTAACTCTCATCACTAAATGGGAAAAAGGGAGACCTTTTTTCACTTCAGTTTTTAGGCATAAAACATTTTGAGATATATCTTAATTTCTTACGGAATTATGAAGCAGTATGTGTAAACGAATGACTTAGGTCTTTGGGGACATCAGAATGACTATGTACAGTTCTTGAAAGTCACCTTTTGTTGTAATCAGCCTAGTTTTAATCTTTCTGAGTGTTTTGATTGTAATCTTATAGGAGTACTGGTAGGCAATGTATAAATGTTTTTCATACTTAGAATCCTTCCAGGAATGTGTGGATTGCAGCAGACAATTAGTATCAGTGAATTCTGATGGGTAATGATTACTTTAAAAAAATCCTTGAAAGGGCAATCCAGAGGCCACCACATATTTACAACTGTGCTTTTAGCACAAATGCCAAAGATATAAAGATTGTGGATTTGTTCATATTCAACAATAGAGCAGAGTTTACAGGATTGAGGCATAATTTATTAACACACAAATATTTTTCTTCAAGTTTATGATTGATTATAGTGGAGTTTGTAAGACTGACTCACAATTTATTAAATACAATTTTTATGTATAAATAGGTCAGATGCTACTGTAGGAAGAAAGAGGGGGTTCATAAACTACCATTAATAAACTAGTAACTGAGTGAGAAGGATTATTGGATTATTGTGATTTCAGCAGAAAAAGATGCTCATAGAAAAGAAGCATAAAAATCCACTCTTATTATTTCTGGCAACTTGTATTGCTGGAAACATTGCTAGAAAGTGTATGGAGTTTATAGGGTCATGTTGATCATTTTTTTTAAATGGTCAATTGATTTTAATTTTTTATTCAAAAAATTTATTGAAATACAGTTAATATACAATATTATATTGGTTTCAGATGAACAACAAAGTGATTTGGCAATTATATACATTAATTACTAAATGCTCACAAGTGTAGTTACCATCTGTTACCATACAAAGATATTACAACATTATTGACTATTCCCTAAGCTGTACTTTCATTCCTGTGACTAATTTATTTTATAATTTGAAGTTTGTACCTCTTTATCCCCTTCACCTATTTCACGCATCCCCACCTGCGTGGTGACCAGCAGTTCATTCTGTGTCTATGAGTCTATTTGTTTTGTTTGTTTTGCTTTTCAGATTCCACACATACGTGAAATCATATGGTATTCATCTTTCTCTGACTGTCTATTTTGTCTGTAAGACTCCTGATTGTCTTTTGTCCTCGGTGAAAATACCTTGCTATTTGCATATCCTACCTGCTTACTTCATTCACATTATCTTTTTGACATGGTTAAGAAACATTGATTTCTCTGTAATCTTCAAATACTTTGCAAATCTACCATGGGAAAAGTATTTGATGAACCATATACTCATTTCTCCCGAACAAATGGAGCCCATTGCTAGCAGGTACTATTCTCTTTTGCCTTATGTAAAATCTCGTGTTTCAACCAAAGAGTATGTTAATTTCTAACATGTTCTAAGTTTTTGTAAAGATTTTTGTTGCTTTTCTTATGTGCACATTCTTTAATAGTTTAATTTTTGCATTAAATTTTTTAAATAGTTTATCATGTCTTAAGTAAAGTAGAAAATAAATGCCTCTCCAGTACATCAGTTTGCCCTTTGAAGGGATGTGCCATGAGACATTTTGCTAATGCAATTTATGATTTTTTTTCTTTGAAGAATACTTTGAAGATGTCTATAATAACTTGTATGCTCTGGCCTCTTGCTTCAATAATTCTGAAGACAAGTGGGTAAGGAACTACTTCTATGAACGATGTTTTAAAATTGCTCAACTGATAAAAATCGATGGCAGGAAGAAAGAAGCAGAGGCGCACGCGCACATGGGACTTCTCTTCGAGGAAGAGGGTGAGTGGCCATTTACCAGACTCTCCGGGGTACTTTGGAGGGTCCATAGCCCTGGCAGCCAGAAAAAAAATGGGGATTAGGAAAAAGACCAGAGACTTTAGTGTAAGAATGTAAGTTACTGAGATTAAAAAACAAAGACATGTGATTTATGAACTCGACTTCAGTATTTCTTGCAGTCATACGGGCACCTGAGTGCTTGCCCTGGAGCACCCAAGCAACAGCAGCAGGAGAGAAACACCCTCCCCTACCTCCCACGCAGACCCTTCAGTGCCGCATGCTGCACCGTTTTCAGTTTGTTCCCTTTCTTAAAGCAATATATTTGTTCATTTTAACTTGATGTCTCACGTAGGAAAATGGGAAAAAAGAAAGGCACACTTCGTGATTTTCTTTGCACCCATGTTCCCCGCATAAAAACAAAAATCCTTCTGTAACGCAGATGCTACCATATCACGATTTTATAACTACGCTGATGGACAGTGACTATAATGGGGTATGTGGTGGGGACTTGATAATGGGGGGAGTCTAGTAACCGTAATGTTGCTCATGTAATTGTACATCAGTGATACCAAAATAAAAAAACACTACTACTAATAAAATAATGATAGAAGATACTATTACAAAAAAAATAAATAACTTCAGACTTAATAATGTTATCTCAGGACAAGCCAAAGTCTAAAACAGCAAAAAATCATCAGAATCCTATTTTGTGTGGTGGTTCAATGAGGATTGCAAACAGAAATGTAAAAATTAAATTATTTAAGGAAAGAATAGTGGACAGATAATATGCCAAGAAAATATATGAGATGAAAATACTTTATTGTGAATAATTATCAAAAAATTGTCTCATTTTCCACAAAAGTTTTAACTTTGGCGAGACAGTTAAATTAGAAAATGTTTATTATTTTGTGGCCAGGACTGCATAAGACATTGAGATAAGGAAAAACTGATTTTTGTGCTTCAGGAAATCGGACATTGTAATCTACCGCATGTAGGTGCTAGAATGCAGCAGGTGGTCAGGGGCCATCTTGAAGGATAGGTAAAAGTAATATCAGAAATATTCAGAGAACTGAGAGATCATACAGACTAGGTTAAAGGAAGGGATGATGGAATCATAGGGACTGGTAGGGGACTTGGAAGATGGGTAGAATTTAGGCAGGCAAAGGAACAGGCATACACTCTGTAAAAGGGAACTATGTACACCACAGCATAATTAGAGGAACTGATAGGAAGAGCAAACTATTTAAAATTGAAAGTGTATTTCTAAGCAGTGATGGGAACTAAGAGAGGGAAGGCAAGCCAGGGACATGGCAGCATTCAGAATTCGGGCTTAAGCTTCTATACAGTCCTGGTGAGGGAAGGAGTGGGGTGTGACTAAGTCTGGTTGGGCTATATATACCCTGTGGGAGGAGGGGAATGGGGAAAGGGGAATGGTTAGGAAGCTGCCGCGCTGATATAGCCTTGAAGGAGTCCCCAAGAAGTATTTAAGAGAATGTACTGAAGCAAGTCCATTGCAGTTCAACTTACAATATTTCAAAATACTTAAATATGTTAAACAACATCCACACAACAGAGGTCTGTAGAGTCAAGGAGTTATGAATTAGAGTGAAATTCACTCATTTGAAAAACATTTATTTAGAGCCCAGTGCCAGGGGATAAACCAATGAAGAAAGATAAAATCCTGGCTTTCATGGCACTTACAATCTACTGGAAAAAAGAGGCCTTAACCACTGATAGCTATATAACATATTAAGTAATGGTAAGGGCTATGATGGAAAAATAAAACAGGACAAAGGAGTAGACAGTGTGGTTGCTCCCTTATATCAAGTGTTCACCTGTTACAAAGTGAGACATGAATGAAGTGAGGGAATGAGCTTTATGAATATTTGAAGGAAGGGGTTTTATAGAGAGGACACAGTATGTTCAAAGGCTCTGAGGCAGGTGTGTGCTAAGCATGCCCAAGAAGGAGCACGAAAGCCAGTGTATTTGGAGTTCAGTGAGTAAGGTGGGGAGTGGAAGGAGAGGAGCCACGGTGGGGCCAGAAGGCTTGGGGTAGATCACCGTGGAGCCTGCAGGACAGGGGGAGGACTTTGGTTTTATTCTAAATTGTTTAGGAAACCACAAAGCTGTATTGATTTGAGAAAATGCCCATGGTACATGAATTAATATAAAACACAATGTAAAATATCATTATATTTGGTATGCACCAAATATACTAACACATTAACAGTGGTTATTTTTGAATAGGGGGATCATAGGTAATTGTAAAGTTATGCACTGATGAGATAATACTGTAATTTGAGAAGTTATTTGTTAAACTTTTAGTTTGTTAAAAATAGAGTCCTGTCTGTTTGTAAAAGGATAAATTCCTGCTTAAGCTTTTAAAGACTATTATTCTCATTTCATAGGTGATGTAATTATTTTGCAAGCTTTAAAAAATTATCTTCATTTTGAGGAGAAGAAATTGTGATTAAGAGTTTAGCCTGGTTAGTGGTGGAACTAATATTAACTAGTCAGCTACTTGAGAGGCTGTATCCACTGCTCTGTACATACAAGCAGAGGATTCCTTTACTTTCATGATGTGCTAATTATGAAAGTTTCTGAAAATTATATACTAAAACACAATTTAACACCTTTTTGTTCTTTACCATAGGAACTCCCCCAATTGAACAGAATAAAATTTGTTTTTTGTTTAGCTTCTATAATTGGGGCCATCAAATTCTATCACCTTCGATGACAGATCAAATAATCAAACTGCCATTAACTAGCCCTGAAAAAGAAGTCACACACACACAAAAAGAAATAACATATGAGAATAAGGGCTGAAGAAGTCAGGGCTCCCTTAATGAAAATTTCAAAGTAGCCCCAGTGATATTTGTATAGATATCATAGGTATATTCTGTCTTTTTCTATAAATTTATTTCTGATTTTTAAAATTCAGTTTGATTTTGATTTTTGAAAATGGTTTTCATTATGGCTAAAAGAACACATAACAAAATTTACCATCATAACTATATCTAAGTGTACAGCTCAGTAGTGTTAAATATATTCACACTGTTGTCATCTTGCAAAACTGAAACTCAGCATCCTCTAAACAGCTCCCAGTATTCCTCTCCTTCTGATTTTGTGAAATCTCGGAAGGTATTTCTATTGTAGGACTGATTGATTGGTTGATCTATTCATTCACTCACTCAACAAATATTGGAGTACTTGTAATTCTAAGATTAGTAACCCAGCCATCATGATGGCTCACACCATTTTAGTGGCTGAGAGTTAAGTTTGGGGAATGTGATCAGGGTGGGGCTGCTGCAAGATTGCATTCACAGGTCCTTGGCTTGCTTACATTTAGAGGCCCCACCCTAGAGCATGATAGAATGCATCCATATTCCATAATAAATAGATTTGGAATAAATATTCCATTTGGCTATGAAATTATTTTTCAGTTAGGTTGTGTTATTTGTTTTACAGCCACTTTTGTCAGATCTAAAATATTTTTCTGTGCCCTTATTCAGTTCCTAGGCCCTAAAAACCATTTATATTACCTGATGGATAAAATGACTGAGTTAGTATTGACGCACATTCTAGGGATTGGCTTTGAGCTTTTGATGGACCTAGCAACAGTGAAAATTGTGCAGCTTTTGTAATCTGGGGTAGAACTTTCATGAAGAAGATAAACTAGGACTACTTCGAATATGTAGCTAATAGAGTGCAGCGGGGCCTCACCTGGCTGTAGGGTTCCCTCTGAGGTGGCGATGGTGAAGCTTCCGCATATCTGATCTGATTGGTCTAGACAAGCACATGGAGGCTCCACAGCAACAGCGAGGCGGCAGCTGTGCTCAGGGGCAGGTGCCAGCATCCTGATCCCAGGAGTACCCATTCAGGTTAAAACGCGGTACCAGCCAGCAGATGGCAAAGGGCAGGTTGTCAGGGACCCACCAAGCCGGCTGTAGTCCAGGGCATGGCTCCAGCTCCCTCAGGGAACTATAGAGCAAATGAGTATGAGCAGAAACCGGAGTCACCAGGACTGGGCACCTGGGTGCAGTACAGGTCGGTGTTCAGCTCATTGGCACATATGGAACCAGAGCCACACCCCGAGCCCCCTGACCAGAGTCAAGCACAGGTTCTGGCTCCCACTGTTGGTAATGGTGTGGCCCTAGTGTATAGTGTGGACTGATTTCCATTGGCTCAGGTGCTGGCCCTCTAATTCTTTAGGTCAAATACCTTGAGATTATAGCTGGGATAATGGGCATGGAGTAGTCATGGACTGACAAATACTAGAAACAAATCAGTAGCTGTGTCTTCTTTCAGAATTGTGGCCATTTATAAAGACAAATGGATAAGCAACATTCCCAGCACATCTGTGGAGCACTGGAGAAAGCTCTCACACAGTGGGTCAGTAGGAGATGTGCCCATGCATTCTACAGCAGCACATAGAGGTCTGGCAGGAACAGATGTTAGACCCGGGGCAAGAGAGGGCTTTTCAGAAGACATGATTAGGGAAACACCAGCTCCTCCCGTGGAATGATCTGAATCCAAGGCAGTAGTAGCAGCATGATGATACAGCAGAACCTTCCATTCAGTCCTCCCCTGCCAGATCAGCATTAGTGGTTGGGGCCAGCACCAGCCAATTCCCTGGTATGATCAGGAGACTGAGGTCCAGGCCTGGCAGTTGCAGCTTTAGCAGGGGTGGTGGAGGCATACTCAGGCAGGGTCGACCACATCAGCATTCATAGCTGAGCAAGCACCAACACCCTTCTCTCTTCCAGTAATTTAGGATCTGGGTCCAAGACTTGATTTTGATCAAATTAACAGACTTAGCACTGGAACTAGCTGGTTTCCACAGAGGCTTGCATGAGGCCAGTCTCTTTTCTGGGAGGCTAGCTTGGAGGGATACGTCTCAGATAAAGTAACCTTAATTTCTGCCCACATCTTTGTCCTGCTCCTCCTTCCCAGCTCAGTGGGTGACTCCTAAGTCTCATCTCTCGCTCAGCCAGCAGCCCATT